CTGGGGGTCCACGCGGGGCTCCCCTGGCCTGGCCGTGCTCGCTCCGTCCCAGGCCCCTCGGGCTGGACTTCCCTTTGGACGTGGGTGGAAGGACTCAGCCCCGTCCCTTACGTGAGGGGATAGACGATGGTCGGCCATGAGGACAGAGGGACAAGACGGCCAGGAAGGGCCTGGCGGAGCCGCCCCAGCTGCCCCGGTTCGGCCACTGCTCCGGCAGGAGGGGGTGTCTGGGGCCAGCTCCCACGACAGGCGACAGAGGAGCCGGTAGGCCTGCTGCCGGAAGGGTGCGGGGCTGTTGTATGGCTGAGTACTTCCCGGTCCCCCAGGCCCGGCCGGCTGTCCTGGACAAGGACAGGTTCCACACTGTCAGGGAGCACAGGTGGCTCAGTCACAGCACAGCTGTGGGCGTGGCCCTGTGCTGCCCCGGGGGCGGGAGGGGCGGGGTGTGTCCTCTGCACCCCTGGTTACCCTGGTGCTGAGATAGTGCCCTAATGTTCTTTAAAAAAATATATGTATTTTCGTTGATTTCAGAGAGAGGGAGGAAGAGGGAGAGAGAAACATCAATGATGAGAGAGAATCATGGATCGGCTGTTTCCTGCACGCCCTCTACTGGGGATGGAGCCACAGTTGGGACATGTGCCCTGACCAGGAATCAAACCCTGACCTCCTGGTTTATAGGTCAACGCTCAACCACTGAGCCACACCGGCCTGGCAGTGCCCCAGTTGTCTTGACTTGTGTTCCTGGTTATAGAGGCCCCCTTACCAGGCCGAGGGCAAAGAGCACCGGGCAAAGGGCAGGGCAGGCATTCATGATGGCAACTACCAGGCCTAAGGAGGGATGGGGTCACAGTAGGCACTGGGACCCCTTTCTCCACTGCTGCCCCGTCCACCCTGTGCCCCTGCAGCACCACGTGAGCACAGGGACATTGAACTGAAATAGCGCCCTCACCTGTCTCCTCCACCTAGAATGCCCTGCGGGGTGGGAGGGCCGTCATCTGCTCCCCCCCGCCCCCCGTGGGGGGCCCCTGTGCCCTGGTGAGCGAGCCTGGGATTTACAGACTCCTCGGAGGTAGGACCTCATTCCCTTCCTTCGTGAGCCGGGAGAGCTGAGAGAGGAAGTTAACCTGAGAGTCGCCCGTGTGTCCCCAGCGTCAAGGTTTGCATCCATTTTCCCGCGACCTTTAGTAAATGACCAGGGAAGCGCCCGTGCCCGTTCGCAGGGCCGAGTGAGCGCAGAGCTGCCGGGGCTGCTCCTCCCGCGGGGTCCGGGCTGCAGAGATGAGGACAGCGCCTGGGCAGCCTCGGGCTCCCTTCCAGGGTCAGCA